GTTGGATTTTCTTCAATTGTTTCAAGTGGTGTATAATATGTTTTTTCTTTGTCTAAAACTGGTTCACTTATTTGTTCTTTTTCCCCATTTATTTCTTCTTCTGGGTCTCTTAATGGAAGTGTAATTGGATGGTTTGGATTACAAGGATCAAAGTCTAATTCAGGGTTTAATAATAATTCTTTCTTTTTGTCTTTTTTATTCTCTTCTTTCATCCCTATATCTTCTCCTGCTGTCATCATTAAATTACTTATTCCTAATCCACCATTTCCATGTGCAACTGGTCGTGGTTTGAAGACTCGTGGAGTTGGTGTAATTGTTGTTTTCTTAATTTTTGGTTGTTCTTTTTTAACTTTCAATTTTGTTCGTCCTTCATTCCCATTATTTGCTTCTGGCTTAAATCCTGCTGCTCGAATATTTGGTGCAAATTGAATTTTTGGTTGTGAAGGTTGTATACCACGAATAGAAGTTAGTCTTGAGTTGGCTGTATTTTGAGAATTTTGTGATAATAATTGGGAAAGGGGAATGTTTTGATGAGGTTCACTCATTGTTTTCTTTTGTATTAAAAGTATTTTTTGTTTTTTACTTCAAATTTTTATTATTTATTATTATTATTTATTATTTATTATAGTTTATATCTCTCTTTATTGAGTCATTGAAAGATTTTGAATAGTAATTGCCTTTTATTGTATTATTCTTTTATTTTCTTTGTCTCATAGGTTTTATTTAAGTTATGTGGCAAACCTTTTTAAATCCAATTATCACCTATTAAGTAAAATTATTTTTCATTTCCAAATACTTCTAATGACTGAAAAAAATTGAAAGATGAAAAGAAGCAACAGATCATATAAACATATAAAATTGGTGAGAGATAGTTGTTGGTTTACTTTTGTTTTTGAATAAAATTAATGGAGAAGAAGTTTTTTTTTCATAAAAACAAGAGAAAAAAAAAGGAAATTTGTAATTAATTAAAAGAATCAAATAATGACATTAGTCAATACAAATAACAAACTGATTCTGAATGAGTAATTAAGGAACAACAATTATAATGAGAGAGAATTTTTTTTTGTAATAGAAAATGGGGTGAGTATTAAAGTAGTTTGTAGATAAGAATTTTACCAGAATTAATGAATAATATAAATAAATAATTTAATACTGAATTGTCTAAGTCAAAGAAAGTACCATCGAAGGAAATTATTTATTTTTTTTGTATTTAAATTATAATTCTATGTGGTGTTAATAATTTTTATAATAAAATGGGTAAAAAAAAGAGAAAATCAAGAAAGAAGATTGAATTTAGTTTAATTCTTTAGTAGAAATTGTTAATAATTAAGTTGAATAAAGTTGTAAAAAAATTAATAGAGAAGGAGTTTTTATTCAAAAGAATAGAAAAATATCAATACAACCAAGTATTAAAAAAAACACAAAGAATCAATAAAGATTATCATTTAACAATTTTATCTACAAATAAAATAAAAAAATTCATCTATTCAAAGATAGCTTTGTTTAAAATTGTAAAAGGTATTGTTCTTTTTGTTGATTTAAGAATAAAAGAAAAAAAAAGCAATACACACACCATTATATAAGAAATTCAAAAAGTCCAATGAATAAAAGTGTTTATTTTGAAGACATTCATTATGTTTTGTTTCTTATTTGGATTAGTCTAAATAACACAAAAAAAGGAGAAAATGTAACAATTTTATGGAAAGATTATATTTTTAGAGATAATTCCAAAAATAGAATTTTTGCAATATTGCCTTATCATAACATAATAAATAATTTTTTAGTTTTACTAATTATTATGTTAGTATGACGTAATAACCATTCTGATAATGAATTTAAATCAAGACTTTTTTAGAATGAGTAGTTTTGAGGTAGTAATGAGAGAAACACTGCTGAGGGAATCAAAACGATATGAAAAGAAGATTATAAAAATCTTAAAATAATTAGAATTTAATGGACAAACTTAAATACAATAAAAGGAATTTAGAAATAATATTGAGACAAAACAAAACAAAGTACCGGTTGTTATATGATTGTTGTGTTGTTTGTTTTATTTATATAATCACTGTACATCATATGTATGACTCTGATTATACATTATTAAGAATGACTCGATTTTGGACTTACTTCGGTATGTGGAGTTGTGGTGTGTATTTCTTTATTAATTTCTTAAGACAACTTTCATTATTGTTGTTAAGTGAACTAACTATAAAAAGTCATAAAGAATTTCTTCGTCAAAAAGATATTCGTCTTATACATTTTGTAGTTGAATTTATTCAACAAACAGCAGTTTCTATTGCGATAAGTGTATCTCTGATGTTTTGGATTCTTTATTTTAAATCTCCATCAACAGTTTTTAGGGCAACAGATGAATGGCAACCAACCTTATTTGAAGAATGGTATTATACACATTTTGAACACACATTCCCATTAATATTTTTATTGATTGATTGTTTCTTCTTCAAACAAGGAAATACTAGAGTGCATAAAATTTATTTTATTAGTAAATATGGTCCATATTCTGCTTTTTTGCTCTACTCATCAATTACTCTTTATGATTTCCATTATTATAATATTAAACCATATCCTTTTATGGACAATTGGAATATTTATGCCTTACTTTCTTTTATAATGGGATTTCTCCTTATATTTAAATTAATATTTAATCCATGTGCATTGTTAATACGTTATTATCTTAAATTATTGTCAAATAAATTATTTAACTTTCTTTATCAAAGAATAAATTGATTTATTTTTGTTTAATTATTTTGCGTTATATAAAACAATAAAAAATTTAATTAAGAATATTGAGTGCATCCACTTCTATTCACCCTCCAATGATCCTTAGTATATGGTTGCATACAAAGCCAACAAAACTGGAAACCACACCTGCATGTAATATGATTACAACCACCATTTTTTTCAATTGGACTGTGACATTGAGGACATAACTTAGTATTTTTTTTGACATAAACTTGAAAAGCGTCATCACCCATACCATTTTCTCTTTTCCATCTTTGATACTGTTCACAAGTACAGTCAGCATGCCACTAAGTGGTTAAATAAAACTTATTTATTATAAAATTAATTTAAACAAACTTGTTCATTACATTTGCAACAGAAACAATAATCACACTTTACACATCTCACCATAGTAATTCCAGGTTCTCCAATCATAGGTGTACCACATTTAATACAATATAAAGTATCTGGGTCATTGTCAATTCTAATTCGTGTTAGGGTAGAGTTATATTGTTCTAATAATTCTGGATCAGATATAATACCATAATTAATTAACTATGAATTATTATTATTTATTTAAATAATAAGTATTTAGAACAAACATCATTATATGATATTTCTTCATTACAATCTTTTTCTGGACAAAGGATAGGTCCATTTGCTTGTTTAATCTTTTCATTAGCATATTCTGAGACACAAGAAAGACAAAAACTATGTCCACATCTAGGATTGGTATAAAAAAAAGATTGGTCAACATCATTATAACAAATAGGACAATTAACTACATCGTCTCGTTTATAAAACAATAACATCCTTCTTTGATCAATGTATTCCTTAATCAATTTCTTTCTTGTAACTATATCACTTTTTAAAAGAAGCTTAAAATCTATTGAAGGATAATTAGTTTGCATCAAATATCCTTTTTCATTATAAGTTCTTCTTTTAAAAATTTAAATAGCTCTAAAATAAAAAACTAACATCATTTGGTTAATTAATTGAAATTTAAGCTGGTGCATACATACCATGATATGGATGGTTAGCAAGTTCAGCAAGAAGTCGTTCTGCTGATTCAATTTTATCTAATGGATGAACCTCTGACTTTGCTTGTTCTGACCATTCTTGAGTTAATTCATATTCTTCTTCTTCTTCAGTATCATCTTCTTCATCTTCTTCGTCTTCAAAAAAGTCTGCTTCTTCTAAATCTTCGTCATCATCATCAAGATCTAATTCATCGTCATCATCAAGACCTTCATCAGAGTCAAGAAGGTCCTCATCATCAAATTCAGCAAACAAAGACTCGGCAACAGCATCATCATCCTCTTCTTCTTCCTCTAAATCATATTCGTCTTCTTCGTCTTCTTCGTCTTCTTCGTCTTCTTCGTCTTCTTCGTCTTCTTCGTCTTCTTCATCTTCTTCATCTTCTTCATCTTCTTCATCTTCTTCATCTTCTTCATCTTCTTCATCTTCTTCATCTTCTTCGTCTTCTTCGTCTTCTTCATCTTCTTCATCTTCTTCATCTTCTTCATCTTCTTCATCTTCTTCATCTTCTTCATCTTCTTCGTCTTCTTCATCTTCTTCATCTTCTTCATCTTCTTCATCTTCTTCATCTTCTTCATCTTCTTCATCTTCTTCATCTTCTTCATCTTCTTCATCTTCTTCATCTTCTTCATCTTCTTCATCTTCTTCATCATCTTCTTCTTCGTCTAATTGGAATTCATCATCTTCATCATTATTTTCTTCTTCAAAAAGCTCTACGTTATCTAACTCAGTGAAATCAATATCGAATGTGTTGTCAAGTTCATTTTCTTCTGCAAAAGCAAAAGCAATTAAAGCAAGTAACAAGAGTACTTTCATTTTATAAATAAAATATAAATTTTTTAAGTTTTAAAAAGTTCTTTTTAGTTTTTATAAGTTTTGAGTATTTTATAAATAAAGAAAAACAATATTTTTTTCTATTTCAATAATTATAAAATGTTTTATATTTTTAAAGTGATTCATATAGTCAAAAGAAAAAAAAAGAAGGGAGAAAATGTGAAATAAAAAAAAAATAAATTAATAAGTAGAAAGCTACAAATCATGATAAAATAAAAAGACAAAAAAATCTGAATAACAAAAAAGAAAAAAAGATAATTGAGTCAATCAATCAGCAAAAAGAAAGAATCTAAACATAAACAAATTTAGATTTATGAGCACAAACACCTCTTCACATTCAACAAGACAAACTCTTCAATCTTTTACACGCAGTACACATCGAACAAATCCAAGTATGACTATGAATATAAGTAGTAAACAGACATATGCAAGTATCTTAACAAATACACAAATGAAACAAACAACAAAAAATACATCAGGAAAAGTAAACTTTACAACAAATGATGACATAGAAGATATCAATGAAATTCCATTTAATAAAAAATTATTTCTTTTTACAATAATATTTCCATGTATTGGATATTATGGTATTTTTCATTTAAATAATAGTAACAGAAGAGAAAGGTTATGGGGAGTTTCTATGTTAATTTATGCGATATTAATGATGATAGTTGTTATAGTGATAATAGCATTATTTGTATCATTTTATTAAATAATATAATACTTACTCTTTCAATTATTTCTAATTACTATTTGTAATATTATATTTTTAATAGTATTTTATTATTTTAATTAAAAAATAATAATTAATAATAAAAATAATAATAATTAATACTATTCCAAAAAAACCCTCATTGAAGTACTTAAGGAACTATAAAAAAATAATAAAAACAAAGAGAAGTAAATTATGCCTCCCAAGCCAAATCCAAATGAAAAGAAAGAGCGTTTGTCATCCATACGTTATTAAAGTATTCTTATTTTAAAGATACTTTATAACAATATTTTGGTGGATAAATATCTTTCTAAAAATATAAATACTCACTTTTATAGTTGTTGTCAAAGTTGTAGCTGGTGATGCTGCAGCTGGTGCTTCTCTTGGACCAAAGGTTGGTCCTCTTGGACTTAACCCAAAAAAAACTGGTGATGATCTTGCTAAATCAACCCTTGCATGGAAAGGATTGAGAGTAACAGTCAGAATTACTGTTGTTAATAGAGTAGCTACCTATGAAGTTATTCCATCAGCTGCTGCTCTTATTCTTAAAGCACTTAAAGAACCACCAAAGGATAGAAAGAAGAACAAGGGAATTCCAACCGTTCACTCTGGATCTATTTCAATGGACGATGTTTATGAAATTGCTAGAACAATGAGACCAAGATCACTTGCTAAGACATTTGCAGGAACAGTTAAAGAAATTCTTGGAACCTGCAATTCATGTGGATGCCAAGTAGATAAGAAATCACCAAAGCAAGTAATTGCAGAAATTAACAATGGAGAAATTGAAGTTCCAGAAAACTAAATGAATTTTGAATTGTTAAATTGAATTTTAAAGTTATATAATTTATATATTCATTTTAAAGAAAATTAAAGAAGAAATTAAGTTAAGAAAAGAATATTGAATAATCAGTTTTTATCAAATTAGTGTTTTGAGAACGAAGATATAATTCTAAAGTAATTCCTGATTTTATTAAATCTTCTAATTTATAATTTGTTCCACTTAAAGAACTTACTTGTAAAATAATATCTTTAGGAGTTTTTGAGTTTTTTCTTGTTTGTTTAAAAGTAATAACATAATTATATTGTTTTAATATTTGTACTACTAATTCTTGTTGACATGAAAATCTTCCTGTATCTATTTCTTTTTGTACATCTATCATTCCTAAAATATCGGTGTTAATTTGAGTTATTACTAATGGTGTTGAATTAAAATATTTACATCTTCTTTTTACAGGTTTTTTAAATATAATTGTTGCATGATTTTCTTTAATTAATAAAGCAAGAAGTCCATTTTGTACAGCACATTGAGTTCTTTTTGTTGAAGCATTGTTATTAGACATTATCCTTATTAAATTAAACAAGAAGTTAGTTTCTTTACAAAAAAAACAGTTAGTAAATTAGTATGTCAATTTAAAATGTCATTATTAATAATTTAAGAGTTAAATTGATTTGGTTATTTAATAAATAAAGAAATAAATAATGTTTAAAATTTATTAAATTATGATTTACCTAAAATTTTTGCACTGAAAATAATTCAATTAGAAACTACTGAAACTTGATGAAGATGAATTTTTCTTTTTGTAAATAATTATGATAATTATCAATGCAACAATAATAATTACGAAATAAACTGCATAAAGGAGAATACCCCAAACTCCCCATCCTGAAATACCATGATGTTGTTCATTATTATTATCATCATTATCCTCAGCACTACTATCTTCAGGTGGTGGCGTTGGTGGATTTTGTGATTTTTCTTCAAGAATTACTTCAGCTTCAATCATTCCATCATACCCATGTTCAAGTGATGCAATAAATAAGTAATAATTTGTATCTGGTTGAGTTTGGTATGACAATTCTGCACCATATGTACCACATGCTCTTTTACTTGAGTTAGTACCTGCAACCATAATATCAGGAATAGAAACATATTTACCATCTTTATCTTTTTGAGTATTACAACTTTTAAAGATAGCAATAACGTTATTAATTTCAGTACCTGTAGAACATGTACGAATGGTTAATTGTAATGATACATGAGTATTAAATCTGAAATATGACCCTTTAAGAGTTTTTCCTGAAACTTTAGTTTCATATGCATAAGCAGTATGAACATATATAGTTTGTTGAGCTTCAACAGTATCAAGATAATTTGAAGTTTCACACATAGACCCAGCAGGTGCTTGGGTTGGATAAATAGAAAAACGATGTGCACGGGCAGTTCGTTCTTTTTGAGCAACTGCAATATTATACACTGTTCTAGAATATGCAGAGAATGTAAGTCTACTTGAAGTATCAGCAGAATTATCTAAATTATCATTATAAGCAATACAATTAACGTTTTCATCACCATAACATCCAGTTAAAACTTCAAGATAAGTATCAACCTTAGTATCAGATGAAACAGTTGTTGCAATTACATCAAGACTTTCTGATAATTGAATAGAATACCAGAAACTAGGATATTGTGTCATAATACATTTAAGAGTATTGGATTGTGTTGTATCAATAAATCCAACTGTTGTAAATGGAAGAGAAATTATCTTTGGAGCAGTACATACTGAATGAGCAATATTATCAAATTTAACAATTCCAACAGATAACGTTTCTTGTCCTCCTGTACCATAAACAAAAACATATCTAATTTCATCATTTAGGAATATATCCATTTGAGCAGTATTTGTTTCTCTGCTAACACATTGAGATGAATCACATGTTAATTGTTGTTCAATTCCTATATTTACAATATCACCACTTAATGTACTAGCACCAATACGATAATGTTCAACTGAAGATGAAGCACTTTTCTTAAGTTGATACCATGCCCCTTGATGATATTCTTCAATACCATCACAACCATGAAGTGATTGTTTTAATTGTTTCAATGGAATTGTATCTGTATAACTTTCAGTTAAAGAAAGAGCATCAATACATTGGTAATGATTTTGACCTTTTAATTGTACATTCATAATAATTTGACTATCTGATTCTTTTGCATAAAATTTAGCAATGTATTTAACACCAGCATCAAGATGAAATACTTTATATTCATCTTTATTACAACTTCCACTATAAATTGGTTCTAAAACAGTAGTTGATGTACATCCTTGAATTAATTCAATACCAGTACCACTAACTTTAGATTGTGTTTTACAAGTTGAAAAAACAACATCATTATCAGTTCCTATAATACTTAAATAAAATACTGGATATTGTGCTCCACCTTCAGAAATAACAGGAGTTAAAGGCCATGCAGATGGAACATTTTGAGCTCTTGTAAATGGTAAACTAATACTTACAGCATTTTCACAATTAAATGGAAGAGTATCATCAACCGTTTGTACATTAACTTGGAACCTACCATTTGCCCCATTCTTTCCAAAAACACCAATATGATAATCTTTTCCTTCTTCTGATTTAAATAAAAGAGTAGAACCAGTACTTCCTTTTCCACAACCATTATCATTATATTTAGTACATTCAGCTTGTTTACAAGTATCTCCAGCATTAACAGAATCAACAAGTACTAAATAAGTATCAATTTGTGTTAATGAAGAACATGTATCAACAAGATAATACTTTCCTGTTCCTTTCATATGGTACCATTTAGCTGGCATTGATTGTGAAAGACATTTAACATCACCAGTAGGATAATTTACAGTAGAATCAGAGATATCAGAATAAGGAATAGATTGAATTTCAAGTGCTTGTTCACAATAATAATTTGGTAAATTATTTACTTTTACAAAACTAGTAGCAAGACTACCTGATCCATTTCCTACAACTTTGACAAGTACATACATTGTAGTGTTTGCTTTAAGATCAAAGAATGAAGCTGATTTTCCAGTTGAAGAACAAGTAACATCACTCTTTGAAATTTTAGTAATTCCTGAAGCAATATCATTGTTACAATCACTGAAAATATAAATTTCAGTTTCAACTGTAGTTCTTGCACCGCATGTAGAAACGTATAAAGAAACATCTTCAATTTCATTTAACATAAAATAAAGACCACGAACAGTTTCTTTTGATTTAGTTCCATCTTCACCAGTAAGTTCCACAATTGAAGTTTGGAGGTTGTTATCAATTTTATGATGATAAATATATGATTGTTGAACAATAATTGGAAGAGCTGTTGTACATTGTAAATTTGTTGGTATATCATCTGCTCTTGCAAAAAGGCACAAGAGGAGAGTTATTAAAAGCATATGAATTTATATGATTTACAAGTTTTGTTCCTTTTCTTTTTTCTTTCATATCCTTTTTAAATTTCTTTTGAAATATACTGCTTTCTTTATCAATACGCTTTTTTCCCGATTATTAACATCCAAATTCTCCTCTTTTTCAACTTCTTTAAGAGAGGAATTTTTTCACTTTAAATATTTTCAACTTTTCTGGTTTATCTCATTCAATAATATTATTTATTAATAATAAAATTATTAATACTTATAGTTTTTTTTTTATTCTTTTTAATATACTTTTCATGAGAATTTTCATTTTTTTTGTTTTATTTTTTTTAAATTTTGTGTTATAAATTTTTCATTTATTTTTATTTAATTTGTCAAAGTAAGTAAATTATCAATTACATAAAATTGAATAAGAGATTTAAAAGTAGTTTGATGTTATAAAAAATACATGCATATATAAGAATAAAATATGTTTTAATTACATTTTCTAAAAATTAAAATGTTGTTTTATTCATCATTTAATATGACTATTCAATAAAAAATAATAACCCTAAAAAAATAAAAAGAGTCGTTGAATAAATAAACATTGTTATTGTGACAATGTAATATTCTTATTTATTAATAAATGATAGTTTTTAAGAATAAATGTAATTGATATTTATTATTATTTAAAAAAAATCAATTAATTAAGTATTAATAGAAGTAGTTTCTATTGTTCTTGAATCAGGGGAGACTAATCAAATCTATGAGTTCTTCTTCTAGTATTTTTACAGAATATGTTTGGTTGTGATTGAAGCAATATTCCATGACATCAATTATGTTTTTTATGACATAGTTTTTACCTCTTTCTCGATGTCAATGTCAATTTTTAATTCTTTAATTAATCTATTACTTGAATTATTTATTAATCCATTGATTGAAATTACTACTGGATTTATTTTGACATCTTTTATTTTTTCTATTTTCATTAGAATATTCTTTAATTCCTTATACTTATTTCTTTTCTTCCAAATGCGTTCAATTAATATTGTGATATTCAACAATAATCATATCAAATAATAGACAAGTTTTGTTCTTTTTATCTAATACATATATGTCTGGTATTTTGTGATATTATCCATCACTTTTAGGCATTATTTGTTTGTTCCATATCATTGTTATGTCTTTATATTGTAACATTGTTTCATATGGGGGTTTTATATTGATTATTTCCTGTTTATTTTCTTATCAATCCCTCCAATATTGAAACTTTGTGTTTAAAGTAAGTAAAATACAAAATACAATTGACAATTAATTTTATTATTCCTTTTATCTTTCTTTTTTAATATTATGATAAAAATTAAAAATATAAATGCTAATAAAATTGTCATTTATTCATTAATGGATATTAATTACATCATACATCATTAAAATGAATATTTTATATGTTTTATTTATTATTTAGACTTTATTCTTGTTTTGTGAATAAATCATTTCTTTTTGTTTTATTGTTTTTTCATTCTTCTTTCTATTTATTTCTTTTTGTTTTTCATCATTTTAGTTATTCTCATTGAATTATCATTTCTTTATTTCTTATTTTATGAATGAATATTTCATTATTATTATATTATTATTTATAATTTCATTTATTATTAATACCTTCATTTATATCTTTTT